TTGGTATCAAGTAGCCCGAAAGAATCTTTTATTTGTTTGTAAGTAGAGAATCTGGCGCGAGAACGAGACAAACGCACAATCGATATCAGTACTTGGAAAACAGTGAAGAAGGACGAATTGTGATTAACAATTAATTACTTAACAATTTATTAATAGTTAATTATTCAAGATTAAATCACAATTTGTTATTTAGCAGAATATTACCGATAAATCAAGCAGTTAAGGCACTCTCCTCTTTAATATAATGCTTTACTTTATTCACACGTTTGAATACATTATGATAATATATTATTGTAGAATATGTTATACGTTACATATAGTCATAATAAGTATATACACAATTCATGTAGAAAACGAGTAAAATGTAATAGTTTGTATAACGAAAAAAAATAATTCGTTGTGCAAAAATACATTTAACTCATAAAGAATGACATTTTTATTATGGAAGATTTACTTAATCGAGAAAATTGAATTTAAACCGTGAAAATTAGCTATACATTTTTGGTTACACTTACTTTATGTAACATACACTAATATCATTTGAATGTAGATATTACATAGTAGTACGTCAGGTTTTAAACAAAAAGTTAAACACTATTAAAACAATGGTATTAAAACATTTGTTAAAACTTTTATAATGTACACATATATAAATATACACAAATATAGAACACGAATGATATATACATATACTATATAGGATTCAAATATACGTATATATTTATAAATACTATTAGTAGTTAAATATTTGTATATAAGATACATATAGGATACATATATACATATATATTTATAAATACTATTAGTATTTAAGCATTTGTATGTTTATGCTATATATATACTTTTCTAAAAATCATGATTTATATAAAAACTTTTATACTACATTTTTAATTTTGCAGAAAGAATTGTCTTTTTCTGTTTGAAAGTTATACTGTTTTCCGATCGTGCCATCTATAATTACCGCTTCTAGCATGAATGTATAAATATTACAAATAATACATTTTACTAGTAATGTTTACTTTCATTTTATCCACGTTCTAAATCGTCAAAAGACTTACTATGTACAGTAAGAAGATCTATAAGTTTTAGTACATGCCATCTTAAGGTACAATTACAGTTAAAATCTGATGTGTTTGTACATATGTATAAGCATGCATATCCGATGATTGTATCTACGATAATTCGAATTGATTTGCATGAAAGTGTTGAATATGGTTTTGCAACATCTCTTGAGATGTGTAATAAATGTATATATTAAAACATTTTTCACATAGTAAGATTGTGGGATGATCATTTTTCGCATGCTCTTTAAGTTCGATCAATGTAGGGACTCTTCTCATACAAGACCTCAATGGACATCTTGCGTATTTTACTCATAAAGTGAAAATGAATATGGGTTATTTGTTCATTAAAGGTGGTAAATATTTTACCGCATACCTTAAAAAAATGTATTATAGTATTATTTGTAGTTTGTGTGTAATGTTGCACTACTTCTATAAAATACTAGTTTTAAGAAACTTACAAAGTAGTAAAAACTACTAGGATTAAAATGTTCAATTAAATGATGATTAAGTAACTCCCCTATGCTGTTCATTGGCCTTAGAAACATACATTACAGAAATAAGAATAAATAGAAGAAGCCTACTTCTGCAAGAGTAGTAAAACTCAAAGAATATAGAGAATAAAATATCATATAAAACGCGAAGAAGATACTTTAAGATGAAAATAATAATTATCTCTACGTTATCGTTCGTTTTGTGTTTTTTTCCTTTTATGCGATGTAATGTACAGTTCATGTAGCTTTATTAATCAGTAAGAACCCAATCCAAACTGTTTTTTGTAATAATTTAAAAAAACAATGTATTTAGATACAGAGATTACGTTTCAAAAATAATACCAAATTTCTATATTTGAACGTTCAAGATGATCACTATATCTTTTTCTCTTCATCATATTTACGTTTTACTGTTTGATATTATTTTCTCAATTTATTCTTACCACCACGGTGTACATATACGACATGTATAAAACGGTCGAAAATCATCGGAATTTGATACATAATAATATGATACATGATAGTCGTATATGTGTTTAAAAAAAAACGTCCATGTTAGAATACGTGGTGTCACATATCTTGAAAATAAAACAATATAAAGTTGACATTCTATTAAACTATGATGAGCAGCTTTATAAATATCTTCAAAAAACTTACGTAGCAAAAATAGTAGCATATAGCATGTGCGTCTAGCATATGGTCCATATATTCCTGCTTGTTGAACATAAATTTGACGTTACAGAGAGTACACCGAAATGTAAATTTCAAATGATTTGTAAAATTATGAAGTCCCCATTCTATCACACTATAAAAAATGCTATCACACTTCTAGAAAAAAAAGAAAGAAAAATATATATATATATGTATCTATACATGAAGCGTCTATTTCAATGCAACCACAAACATACACACGCGCGTGCGTGGTATCCGCGAATATATGTCATTATACAAATAAATAAACATGTATATATGCATGCAGCGATGGTTAAAATCGATTAAATCTCATATTTATTTAAATAAATATGTTAAGTCTTACTCGGCATCTAAAACTTTTGGATCTAATATCATACTGCACCAACGATGCCACATCACTTGAGGGTTTTATAGTACGTACACTTTTTAAAAAGTGCACCAACGATGCCACATCACTTGAGGGTTTTATAGTACGCACACTTTTTAAAAAATCTGTTAAAATTGTATACATATTGTATCTGTGAGTAAACAAAATTTAACAATTTTCCTTTTTCTATAAGTCTTGCGTGTCTTGTAGTTTCGTTGTTCTTGTGGTTTTTAATCTTCAAAAATGATTGGTATAAATCTTTGGTAGAAATCATTGATGTAAGCCGTAGAAAGTCAAATAGCAACTGAGAATTTCATATTGTACACTGCTTTGAAAACAAAAACGAAAATAAGATGTGTTTGTGCGACTATGTTTATGTGACTGTCATGAGTGTTGTGTAAACAATGATACTGATTTAATTTGAAATATTCTATAAAAAATGTTACTGCTCATAGTTTCAGTCTTGTAAACTTTGTCCAATATCAAATCTTAATTTTTATATTTGTATGTGTCCGTATATTTGTATGTGTTTCCGTTTTTGAAGGTAACTGTTTTTATGTGTGTTTGTGAGTTCGGTATTTGTAAATAGCGGTTTCATGGCCATCACAATGTAGAAAAGTGAACGGACAATTTGAATCAAAGGTGTCTTTGCGCATGTCTAATGAGAGATCTTACTGCAAAAACTCGCTGGTGTAGTGCGCATCCTTTCTACCGCTTCAGAGTCAAACCTGTGAATATTTGCGTAAAATCACTACCAGTTATTTTCACTACAGCAATCGGCAATTTCGAGTGACGCGATCGGCTGCGGCAAGTTTTACGTGCGGTAATCGCGCTTATAGAGATTTGTCTCGTAGTATAGAAACATATACATTTTTTTCCTGGTGGATGTTTTATCTTTCAACTTTGCGTGAGAACGGCGCTTTTAAATTATGAAACTCTTACAACGCGCGCGTTACGAATCTTTGAGCAAACGAAACGTATGACAAATAGCTGCTCAACAATAACGAAAATGTCAAGATATTGAGAAGAGTTACCAACAAAAAAGACTGGGTTTGTTTATTGTAAAATAAAAACTAAATGCAAACGCATTGCGGGAGCGTGCATATATGTATAAACACGTATTTTCAAACACTCGCGAGAGCGCAATGCCTGTGTTTTATATCAACGATGATGTACGATCATAACGCGCCCTTTTCTCTTGCAATAAGATCAATCGCAGAACTGAGTTTTGGTATCGGCATGTGTGAAATCAATATTAATCTCAGAAGAAAGCTTATAACAAATTTCTGCGACAAATTCATTACGCGTGTTAATGTGACATTGATCAGAGTAATCAATAGTATCTCAAACATGGGAGTTTCAGAGATTGTTTAAAATTCTTTTTAATTTTCTATAATTTGCTAAAACTGCTACTTATAAATAACAATACAATGCGCGTTTTCTATACAATACGTGTTTGTTCGCAAAAAGTAAGTTTATAAACTGTTACAAAAACGTCTCTATTTCCACTGCAAATAAAAAAGTCGATTTTAAAATCCGACAAACTTACAATTGATTCTTTATTCTATAATTGCCGCAAACATTTGCTTTGATTTGTCTTCTGTAATTGTCCCGTAGTTCCGAACAAATAAAATATTTATAGCATTAATCAGAAATTAAGACTTATCTGCTATTCCGTTAATTGATGTTTTCTGAATTAAAACTTCTTCTCTGTGTGTGTCTTTCTCCCTTTCTTTTTTATTAAACAGAACATTGATGTTGAATCAAGTATCTTAAGCACTTCTTTTTACTATAATGCTTTATTCACACTTTTGCATACATTATGATAATATATTATTGTAGAATATGTTATACGTTACATATAGTCATAATAAGTATCTACAATTCATGTGGAAAACGAGTACACTGTAGAAGTATGTACAACAAAGAAAAAAATAATTCTTTGATTTAAAATAATTTCAAAACATTTAAAATAAAATTTTCAAATGTAAAATTTACTTAATCAAGAAAAGCGACTCTAAACCGTCGAAAGTTGCTTTACCTGTATTGTTACAATTATTTTATGTGACATACAATATTATTTCAATTTAGATATTACATAATAATGTTACTTGAAAAAATATATAAAGACTACATGCTATTAAAACAAAAATATTAAAAAACAAAGGAAACCTTTACTATTGTGCATATATATTGAAAACTATATTATGTATGTACACTCATAATTATATATGTTACATATAAACAAATACTTTTTAAATATTTGTATGTATATATGTAAATACATATACATACAAATATAACTATATATATACATATATATACAATACATATATATATTGTGGGTATATATATATATTGAATCTATATGTGTATAGTTTTATAAAAACTATAAGTTACATACAACACTTTATTTTATATGTTTAATTTTGCAGAAAAGATTATTTTTCTCCACCATTTATATCTACCGATTCCAACACAAATGTATACTTATCAAAGATACTGTACATTAATAATGTCACTTTCTCCACTTTTATCTTATTTACATATCAAATATCGTAAAACACACTTATTATGTACAGAAAGATCTATAAATTGTATTACGTGATATCTTAAGTCATATTGGCAATTAAAATCTGATCCGTTTGTACATATAGATAAGCATGCATATATATAGTTGACTGTATTTACGATAATTCTAATTGATTAGCATGTACTACTCGAATATGGTCTTGAAGTAATTCCTGTGTTTCATACCATGCGCGAATCGTAAAACATCTATCACATACTAATATTGTGGGATGATTCGCTCTTACATGCTCCCTGAGATCGATCAATGTAAGACATGGTTCGTTACAAGTTTCTCGTCGACATATGCGCCATTTACTGATAAAATGGTTATTCAAATGATTCCTTAGGTGACTTTTTACGATTTTACCGCATATCTTAAAAAGAATGTACCATTTGTAATGTATTATTTGTGAGTGTAATGTTGAACTAGTTCTATAAAATTCTATTGCTAAGAAACTTACGTAGCAAAACTTAGTGCGCTTAAAATGTCTGGCTCTGTGATGATCAAGTAACGACTCGATGTTCATCATAGCTCTTAGACACATACATTATAAAAATAAGNAGATATAGAGAAAGCCTACTGTTGCAAAAGTAATAAAAAATGTGGAACATAAATTATGAAACGCGAATAAGATACTCTAAAATGAAAACAATGATTATCTCTACGTTAGTAATTGTTTCGTGCAATATATTGTTTTNCTTTTTTCCAATATGGTGTACATTTTAGTAAGCTTTACAACTTATAGAAGAACTTAATTCAAACTTTATTTGGCTATTGTCAAAACGATGCTTAGGTTAGAAACTACGGTTAAAAGAACTATACTACAATTTGACTACATCTGATCATTCCANATAAACGNGAATTCACTTTNTCTTCATCACATTAACATTTTNCTTTTNGATANTATTTTCTTAATTTATTCTTACCGCCATGGTGTACATTTATTACATGCATAAAAGTATCGACCACCGTTACAATCCGGGAAATATGATACATGATAGTCGCGCATGTGTAGCAAGAANANATCNTGGTTATAGAACAATNTTTCACATATCTTNAAAATANAACAATGTGAAAATGACATTCTATAAAAATGTGATGCGCAGTTTTATAAATATCTTTANCAAACTTACGTAACAACAAAAAGAGTTAANANCATGTGCGCTTAGCATATGACACACCAAGTCCTTTNTGTCGTACANATATCTAAAGTCACAATGAGTACACATATATTTAGGTTGCATATGATTTGTAAAATTATGCAATGCCCAGTCTATCACACGAGTAAAAATGCTATCACACTTCTAGAGAAAAAAGAAAAAAAAAATTATATACATATATGTATGTGTAAGTGTACACATGAAGCAGACATATCATAGCAAACACACATGCGCGGGGGTATATGTGTTATCAGAAAAAGTAATAAATATATATATAAAAATTCATGCAGTGATTATCACAATAAAATCGATTAAATCTTATGTGTATAAAAGTAAATGTGTTCAAAGTACGTCTTACTCGGCATCTATAACGAGTTGGGTTAGTATCATACTGCACCAACGATGCCACATCACTTGAAGGTNCAATATAGTGCACGTTTTGTAAATATGTTACGGCACTTGTATCCATATTAAATCGGTGGGTGAACAGAATTTGACAATTTCACTTTTCTTATAAGTTTTGTGTGTCTTTGTTCTTTCGCTTCTCTTTAATCTTCAACAACGGTTTGTATGAACTCTTTGGTAGAAAGCAATGATATATAGCCGTGGAAAGTCAAATAGGAACTGAGACTTTCGTATTGTATGCTGCTTTGAAAATGAAAACGAAAACAAGACTTGTTTTTGCGACTGTGTTTATGAGATTGTCATGAGTGTCGTGTAAACGATGATGCTGATGTATTTTGAAATATCTTAACTGAAATGTTAGTACTCATTATTTCAGTTCTTGTAAAATTTATTCAAAACGTAATTTTTATGTTTTGTGTTTTTTCACATTTATAGCTAGCTCTGTTTTGTGTGTTTGCAAATTTATTATCCACAACTAGCGGTTTCTTGACCATCAGAATGTAGAAAAGTGGACGAACAATTTGAAACAGAGGATGTGTTTGCGCATGCTTAATGAGAGTATGTGATGCAAGAACTCGCTGCTGTTGTGCGCATTCCTTCTACCGCTTCAGAGTCAAAACTGTGAACACTGGCGTAAAATCCCCACCAGGTTTTCTCACTACAGCGAGCGGCAGTCTTGATTGACGCGATTTCGGACGCGACAATTTCCACGTGCGGTAATTGCGCTTACAGAAATTTGATTTGTAATATAGTAACGTATACTGATTTTTCTGGTAAATTTTTTATGTTTCAACTTTGACTGAGAACAGCGCTTTTCCATTGTGAAACTTATGACGCACGCGTTTATGAATCTTTGCGCAGACAAAATGTGTGAAGAAATAGCTGCGTAACAATAACAAAAATTCTGTTGGAGAAATTCTAAACTTATACATACATACATATATACACAGAAACATATATATATATGTTTGATTAATTATTTAAAAGATCTATATATATATATGTATATATATAAACCAAGTTTATATGTGATATACTTCCAAGTGTTTTAATAAAATGTAAATTTTATATCATCTTTTTTTTTTAAGATCGCCTTGGTAAGCAAAAGATGCTTTTTAAGTTTGCAATGGGTTTTTGCAAAGTGATATAGCATCTGAATATACGTTACTTAATTAAGAAACGAATCGTCGCAATAAAACTCGCGGTTATAAAGTAATATTTGTCTCGTAGTATAGAAGCATATACACTCTTTTCCTGGTGGATGTTTTATCTTTCAACTTTGCGTGAGAACGGCGCTTTTAAATTATGAATCTTACAACGCGCGCGTTACGAATCTTTGTGCAAACAAAACGTATGACAAATAGCTGCTCAACAATAACGAAAATGTCAAGATATTGAGAAGAGTTACCAAAGAAAATGACTGGATTTGTTTATTGTAAAATAAAAACTAAATGCAAACGCATTGCGGGAGCGTGCATATATGTATAAACACGTATTTTCAAGCACTCGCGAGAGCGCAATGCCTGTGTTTTATATCAACGATGATGTACGATCATAACGCGCCTTTGTACTCCTCTTGCAATAAGATCAATCGCAGAACTGAATGTTATTTGGTATCAGCTACACTTATTTGAATAATGTGTGCAATCAATATTCATCTCAGAAGGATTCTTGCAACATGTTTAAAATCTAGTACGCGTGTTAATGTGACATTGATCAGAGTAATCAATACTTAATCTTAACATGTTAGTTTTCAGATAATGTCGAAAATTCTTTTTACATTTGTGTAATATGTTCGACTGATACTTAAAAATAAAGATAGAATGAATGTTTTATAAACTGTAGTTGGTTGTTCGCAAAAACAAAGTATATAAACTGTTACAATAACGTAACAGTTATTGTAAAAAAATACTCTATCTCCACTACTGCAAATAAGAAAGTCGATATTAAAATCCGACAAACTTACAATTGATTTTCTTGTTTTTAATTGCCACAAAAAAGTGCTTTGATTCTTCTTCTGTAATTGTCCCGTATTTTTTATTTCAAACAGACATATTAATTATAGTTTTAATCAAAAATTGAGACGTATTTGCTATATACTCTAATAATTGATGTTTGTTATTGCGATAATAGCGTACAGTGAAAAATACGCAAAAAATCTATTTCGGACTTTGACCAATGCTCTGCGCATTGACTAGTTAATCCTAAGAATGTGCTTCGGGCTTTGACCATAACATATACATGTATACACAATCTATCTCTCTCTCTCTCTCTTTCTTTCTTTCTTTCTCTCTCTCACTCTCTTTCTCTCATATATATATATTAATAATTAATGAATTGTTTATAAAATCTATATAAAAACCATCATCTTTAAATTCATCATCATAAATAAGACGCACCCATAGAACGATCTCCAATTTCGAGATAATCATAATTACGCACGAGCATGTAATCATATACATACGTGACCGTGATCAGGTTTTGTTTAACAATGGTATAATAAGAGCAACTACAGAAATACGTCATGCAAATAAAAATTTATAAATGTATTCGATTCTTTTGACGATCAAACCGCGCAAGTCGAGTATATAGTATTGATTCGCAAAATCTTCAGGTGCGGCTTGGCGCGCCGCGCCGCGCCCGCACCGGTAGCACAAGACGATCGATCGTCGAAGGAACCGTCGTGTATAGAGAAGAAATCTCTCGGGTCACGAGCATCACGAATCGTCGGCGGTAGCGATCGTAGTCCGTCGACCAAGCTGAATCATGCCTCTTCCACGATATATACGGGAGTCAATTGGACGGTTACGCCGTCCTCGAACGAAGGGAGCAGCTACAAGCGGAGGCGCCTTCATCTTTACGACGAAGCGTTCTCATAATTCCCGTCATTCTATCTTGCTGTCCTGCTTGCTCTCGTTCTTCCTCAGAGTAGTTTCTCTCTTATTCTCTCTTTCTCTATCTTTTTCCCTCTCTCCCTTTCTTTCCCTCTTCTCTCTCTATTTATCTCTTTTTCCCTGATCTCTCACGAAAGTGCGAGATCTTCGAGCAGATCGTCACTCTCTCCCTCTCTTTCTCTTCCTTCGTTTTGTATGCGAAGTGAATCGAACGATTTACATCGTCGAGACACTGGCTGGCGAGAAAAGCGCGCGTTATGTTTACGGTCGACGAAAAAAAATTGTGCGCTGGCGACTGTACGTACGTGATATACCTAACGAAGGCGACGTAGCGTAAGAGCGGGATCGCGTTGGCGTATCACCGTCGCAAAGTTACCTCACGAGCGTTGAGCTTTCGCAACTAGATGGCGACTAGATTATTGTTATGTCTACGTAATTTGACATAAATTTAATCTTTGTTTTCGTAATGCGAAAATAAGAATCTCAATTGCAAACGTAACTCATCTGTGCAGGATTTCTGTGCGATGTTTAACGGATATATCGAATTTATGAGAAGGATATTAGACACTTTATCATTGATAACGTATATAATATGCCTACTATGTTTTTTTATTAAATGTATAAATATTAAAAAATGCATTATGTCTCTTTCTAATTTATATCTTCTTATCCGGCATCCCACGTTTACATCACACGAAAAAGATCGCGTTCGTGAATTACAAAAATTATCGACATTGAACAATCTCTTTCAGAGTATATAATCTAACGTAAGGAAACTTGCGGTTGGAGAGAGTCACGCGGGCTCGGTGTGGCTCATCAACGCTAAGGCTAGGGCTAAGGTCGTTGCGCGCCGTGCGAAAGCAAGTGCTGATCGCTCTAATTACAGCGAGACCGATCGCTGCATGATCAGTTGAAGTTTTCGCGAGATAGGCGTCTGCGGCATGTACACGCGGTCGCAAAAAGCATTACGTTGATCGTCCTTAAAGGCCGTTTACATAAGTCGTAGGTCGCAGAACGCAGGTCGCAGACGCAGAAAATCGATCAATTACATTAGCCAAATCAGCTAATGTGATTGATCGATTTTCTGCGTTTGAAATCTTCGTTCTACGAGTTTGCGATTTGTGTAAACGACCTCATACATGCCATGCCTGAGCGTCACGTCGATCTGATTGCCGCGTTGTTGGTTAACTTGCCTATCGCTGCCGTGTAACGCGGCCGCGGCGAGGGTGAGGTTGCGCTCACGCGAAATAGCTTTCGCACGGTGACCGGAGCAACGATCGCATGTAAAATCTGCCCGCGCGTTTTGCGTTCGAAGATATGATTTTAGCCGTTTAATTGGCCACGCGTGTTGCTGACGGAATCGGCAGATAATATCGCGATTTCGATGAGAACAATTTTGCCTGATTGTCGAACACTGGAGAATTCTAAACGCGTGCATCAAGGACTTGCAGCTTCTGTAGCACATATATTACATTCGATTGCCCTTGATCGAGAAGCACAAGCAGTGTTTTGTGTCAAATTCACGCGCAGAAAAATCGCGAGGTTTATCATGTATAACGTTAATTATGTTAATGTATTTGCTAATAATTCTCTTTTAAGTAATTATTATGATTTTGCGACAATATGTTGTTTACATTTGTGTTGACTTATATTTCGTGTCTATTATTTAAAAAAAAAAACCAAAAATAACAACAGATTTTATATAAAAACCACAACTCTATTAGCCTAACGGATTATTTTAGGATACAATGACGATATTAAAAATTCTAGATATAAAAACTTATTGAATTCTTTATTTTTGCAATTTCTTCACCTCTGATAAGTTCTCGATAACTTTATCTAAAAGATAAAGTATATCTTTTTGTATATCTTTATCCAGAGGATAGCTATCGGAAGGTATGAAGAAATCGGGTCTATATCGAATAAAGCGATTTATATGATAAAGCGATCAGATCACCGAGTTCCTAGCGCGAATTTGGCTTTTTGCATTAGGTTGTATCTGTTATTGAATATCGGCGCAACAAAAATATAAGAAAGAAAACGAAAGAACGATGAAATCAGGAGAGAAAAAAAGGAAAGAAAAAAGAACAGAACGGCAGAGAGAGAAAAGAAAGAGAAGTAATTTGGTTCGAGTCACAGCGAGGGCGGTGGGTCCAGCACTGACGTCTCATTTAACTCTCGCGGGCAGGCTATTTTATTTAATCCGTGATTTATATATGAATGCGAAGCAACCGCAAAGCATTCCCTACGAGAACAGCGGTTCTTCGGGTCGCGCTGCGGGTACGTAAACGTACGAACAGAGAAGAAGATGCCTCGAAGATAAGTTCTCTGGACCGGGACTGAAAAGGCAGGGAAGGATCGACCGAGATGCATAACTTAACTCTCCTTCGCGGTCGTCAGTACACGGGGAGAATTTAATCTCCACTTCGGCGCTGTCCTGCGACTCTCACAAAGCGGATAAAATAAATAAATAGGACGCCTTCGAAATATGTGTCCCCGTCTAGTTGAAATATATGTAGAGCGGCTTGTCGTCTCCTCTCCAGAAATTTTCGAAGTGACTATATACGGTTTCTTTCTCGCGCTTTTGTTGCTGCCTTCACACACGACTATCTTCTCTCCTTTTTATACGGAGATTAAGAACGTTCTTAACTTGCGCGCGATTCAAAATCTCCGAAGATCTCTGTGATTGTATGTACACTGTATATAAAAAAGAATAGAATCTGATATTGTGAACAATGAAGTGTTTTGAAATGCTTTTTTTACTATGCAATATTCATTACAATAACATGTAATTTTTTTTGTTTACGCATGCGCATATCGATCACATGACGACGTGATCACACATGGCACATGAGTTAATGATTTGGACATGTATAAAGAAAACGTGCAATATTGCGGCAATGAACATTGTATAGTGTAAAAAGACATTCATCCAGACGAAGTAAATTAAAATGTTAACGACAATATAAAAATGATATATATGCAACTTTTGCATGAACTGTACAGAAAAAGCTTTGCAACACGCCGCGAAAGCATCAAATATTAGAATAAATTCGTATTAAGATTATATTTAACATAGAAATTTTTGAATCAAAGTAGAAATAAAACATTCTGGATAAATAAAAGATAAGAATAAGGCAAAAACAAGAGTAAACAAATATGAAAATGTCAAAATGGTTATAAATACAATATTTATTTACACACTTTATTTCTTTTACACTCTACTGTTCCTTAAAAAACGTTTTTTTGTACAAATATGCCTTATAAAATCATCATGCTCTTTCAGAGAAAGAAGTTTACCTATATATTTTAATTTTACTTTTAAATATTTTAATATGATTAATTTTAATAACTCATACTTGTGATTTTCTAAATCTAATTATAAAATTTTCTATATCTAATTATAAAATGTTCGTTAAAAGTTTTAAAAATCGTATGTAATTTTAAATTTTTAAAACCATCACTTGCTATTTGTTTATTTATAGTTTTAGATGTTAATTTATTTTCAAATTATTATTTACCCATAAAATGACACATTAATATGATTTTTATCATGTTTTTTCTTATATCTGGTTTATTTACACAACCTTCTACACAACAATATATTATTATTTTACTACTTTTGCGCGACATATCTTGAAGTCCGACGTGAAGTTACAACAAATTCTTTTGGATGCACTAGTGCGCATTGAGTGCGCTTTCTTTTAATGTGTGGTAGAGAGAATATTTCAGTCTTAGTATTTTATTACACACTGAAAGAGGACGCACATCTTCAGTGATCAGTGCATTCAACCGAATTCGTCGTTAGCTACTGGCAGTCCATATTTCTATAGTCAAAGATCGGAACGCAACGATAGTCAAAAATTAAAGCCCGATTTCTTCATACCTTCCGATAGCTATCCTGTGGATAAAGATATACAAAAAGATATACTTTATCTTTTAGTTAAAGTTATCGAGAACTTATCAGAGGTGAACAAATTAGACATAACACACATAAGTTCCCTTTCTACTGCGTTCCTTATTTCACAACGCAACAAACTGCTTAACTGGTGTCGCTAGTTCCGCTAGGTTCCGCTAGGCTAAGTTAGATTATGTGACTGTGTTGTATATGACTTTCACCTCATAAGAGTTATATATAAGCACAGTCACATAAACACGTCTTACGTATTATTTTGTTGGCACAACAAGGTCAAGTACGAGTTCTCAGTTGCTATTTGACTTTCTACGAGTATATATCATTGTCTTTTACTGAAGATTTCATATCAAGCGTTTTCGAAGATTTTAAAACAAGTGTAACAACAAAGAAACTGCAAGACGCACAAAGGAAAATCGTTGCATTTTTTGTAATCGATACATATCTCAACATGAAGTTCTCAAGTGATGCGGCATACTTGGTGGAGTATGATTATGGCACCCGATTTTTGAGATGCCGAGTAAGTCGTACTTTAAACACATATCTATATAAATATGAGATATAACCGATTTTAAAGTAACCGTCGCTGCATATATATGCTTCGATATACGTTTGTATATTGGTATATGGTTTGTCCTGTATATAATTTTCTTTTTCTCTAGAAATGTGATCATTATTTCCCTTCTCTCTTGGATTGGGAGGATCATCATTTTCATTATCATATGAAACTTAAATATATGTGTACTCACTGTGACTACAGATATCTCAACAAGATGAGCTTAGTAGTACATATGCAAGTCAAGCATAATAAACAGTGGTTTTATTGTTTTGTAAGATTTTTAAACATATTTATACAACTAATTATTAACAGTTTACAGAATTCCAGTAACTTTATACTGTTTTATTTTTTTAAGATGTGTGAAATTATGTTCTTTTACCCTAATGCTATAATAGCACATATACAAAACGTACATTCAACAGCTACAAATCCTTTTGAGTATGAATGTAATCGATGTATACCACCGAGGTAAGAATAAATAGAAAAAACCTAACCTATTATCTTGAAGTATAAAATCAATAAGATGAGAATAAAGAGAATTCGCGGCCATCTTTAATATTCTTAGACTTAGCTTGGATTTAGTATAATTTTTCGACATGAGATGTAACTGATGAATTGTTTTGAAATTATGCAAAGAAAAACAGTTTGAATTAAGTTAATGGCTAATAGCTACGTAAGATGTACATCAAATCGCGAAAAAGCAAAGACAAATATTGCTTGAAACGATTCCGTGAAAAGTTTTCCCTCTTGCAGCAATGGACTTCCTCTATATAGTCTTATCTTTAGAATGTTTTTTTTTTTTTTTAAGGAAACAACCCAATTTCTATACGTTACTTCACGAACACAAATATGATCATGCTGAGCCTGGCACCTGGTTTATCTGCCGTGTAAGTTTCTTAGAAATAGAATTTTACAGAAGTAGTGCGCAACATTACACACACACACACAAAGTAATATCATATTACATTCTTTTTAAGATTTGCGGTAAGGAGTGTGACAATGCTAAACAACTAAGTATCCATAGAGCTACTCACTATGATGCACAAAAACGCATATGCACACATTGTAAGAAAAGTTTTTCCTGCTTAGTTAATCTTAAGAGGCATATAAGCGAATATCACAAAAGATTTCCATGTCCAAACTGTTTTGATGGTTACTCTGTTGAAATGAAAAAAGACTTGCAATTACATATAAAATATAACCATGAAACAAAATTACTGTAGATACACACAGTCATTGAACATGCATGCTTATACATACAAATAGATAAGATTTTAAGTGCAAATATGACTTAATGGCACATACTAAACTTTATAGATCGTACCGCATACAGTAAATTCTTTGACAATATCTAGAAAATGGATAAATGTGACATTACTAGTAAAATGTGTATTATCTTTGGTATTCTTACATGTATGCTGGAAGCCGTAAATATAGATGGTATAATCAGAAAAAAGATAATCTCCTCTTTCTACAAAACTAAACATGTACAATGTTTTTCACATAAATTATGGTTTTTTAGAAATTTATACACATATATATATACAATATACAGGGTGTCCGACAATTACTTTAAAATCTCTCGTAGGCAGGTAGAAAAAGTAAAACTGAGTCGAAAAGTCCTGAACCATTTTTTTCTATTACATACAATAAAGAAGTAATTATTGAATAAATCAAGCCAATCAGCGCCGATCTTTAGCCGAACACACGTCAGTGAACCACGCGCCTGGTGTGCGTGAGCGCTCCGCGCGGCTCATTGACGTGCGCCCGGCTAAAGGTCAGCGCTGATTGGCTTGATTTATTCAATAATTACTCCTTTATTGTATGTAATAGAAAAAAATGGTTTAAAACTTTTCGACTCAGTTTTATTCCTACTTGCCTATTTGTATACATGCTTTATATATATATAAACAAATATAGTATATATATATACACAAATATATATAATAGTATATATTTGCATACATATAATACTATATTTGTGTATAAATATAGTATTCTTTGTAGCACATATATGTAGCATATATATCATGTGTATTTTATAATACATTTGTGTATATATATGTACAATGGAAGTTATAGTAAAATAAGTAAAATAACAATACATTTTATCACTGTTTTAGGTTTTTACTTGCATAAAATTAAGACGTATACAAAAAAATTTTATTCTACATATTTTCTACTTATTCTTAAGAGGAATTATCTTTTTTTCTGTTATATAAAACTTCTATATTATATTCGTTTCTTACATAACATAAACTGTACGTACTTATGACTATATTATATGATATTTGATGTTTTTGCGGTGTATTATATTAACATTCGAAGATATTTTTCGGGTTTGAGACGCGTTAATGTCATTTTTATACCGATGTTTTGTGAATACCGACTTTAAGCTCACTTCATCGGGGTTTCAAAAGCAATCTGATACAGACCCTGATGAAGTGAGCTGAAATGTTCACGAAACGTCGGTATAAAAATGACACTAACGTAGTTTAAATCGAAAAATATCTTTGAATGACTATATTATATATTATATGTAACGTATTCTGTAATAATATATTATAATTGTGTATTCAAAAGTGTGACTAAAATAAAGTATTCTAATAAAAATAAAATGTTATGCTTAATTTGATTTACAGTAATATTTTGTCCTACCAGAAAAAGCGTGTGCAAATAATCAGAATCGATTCTATCAATCTTGATTGTTACCTCTTTTCCGCGACGTTGATTGGACGTCTCGGTGACGTTTCTCGGATAATGTGTTTCTCGATTCATGTCATACTGTCGTACGTGTACTAGCTGTCATCGCGGTGACATGTTGTGTCTACTGACGGAATATGTTAAAATAAAAATAATAAGTCACATGACAGGAAAGAGTAGAAAAACAACACGTGAAAATAACGTGACTGTAATTTATATTATATATAACATTAAATAATACATATTATACATATAATTTATTATATATTTATAATATTATACTTTATATTGTATTATATGTATTATATACATACTACAGTAATGTCACTGACCTCCGCTGCGCGACTTTGGCGGGGTCACTGACCTCGGCCGCGCGGCCTTGGCGGAATCACTGACCTCGGTCGCGCGACTGCGGTGGAGTCACTGACCTCGGCCGCGCGACCGCGGCGGTGTTACTGACTTTAGTCACGTGTTGTTTTTCCACTTCTCTCTCTCACTATTTTTTGAGTTTGATTTTCATGTGTTATTTCTGACATTTCTCATATGTGTATTATATGGTTTATAAGACGTATATACTATCTGTCGTCGCGGTGACAGGTTGTGTTCACTGACAACACATTAAATAAAAATAACAATAGCATGCGCGTAGCGCGCGCCTGTGTTGTGCTAGTTTAAAGAAAAAAGAGAAAGAGAAAGACAGAGATTTTGAGTTTAGAAAACTTATTAATAAAGAGGTGTAGATAATTTTATTTTCTATATATATAGATAATGCTATATATATATATATACAGTATCTCACAGCCGTTTGAGAAAATAAATAAGAAACAATGACACAAGGAAGCGTGACAGAGAAGTCTTTTGCCGCAACTATCTAAACAAAGAGTCAATCGTAAATCTGTCAGATTTTATAATCAACCTTTTTATATTTGCAGCAGTGGAGATAGAGACTTTTTCGTAACAGTGTTTAAATTTCAATTTTCCTATCTATCGTATATAAAACGCATATTGTATTTTTATTTTAAATAGCACTCGAGCATAGAAAGAAGATAAGAAATTTCGAATCACTGACTAATACGATGATATAGTCACTCGTTTCACTTTTCAGTTTTATTTCTTCTTGATCTGCAGTGCGTAAGTTTTAACAATCTAAGTAACACTATAGTGGAAATATAACACTGTAATATTTCGTTACAGTTTGATGCGATCTCGTTTCTCTAACGGAATAAAAGCATCAAAATGATTAAAGCACATACGTCGAATTCGCGCACGCGCGCGCGATGTGTGTGTGTGTGTGTGCCGTGCGTGTGTAATTTCACGTAATACTGAGTACACTTGAAACGATAGCGATCCCGATGCTCTGTCGTTCGAGTTTGATGTTAATTGGCTGTAATTACGAGATAAACCGCTTAATTAGGTGAGTCTGGACAGGCGCCAATTCTGAATTTTTATCGATGCACCGTCTATCGCGAAGGCTCATCAATCGCCGAGAAGTGGGAAAATAAACGATGGGTAAAAAAAAAACTGGCGAAAAGGAAGAAGATTCTTCACGGTTGGTGTGACCGCTATCGCATCTCGATCTTACCGATCAGGAGCCGCTAGTCGAAGGAACCAACGCCAAGCGATGTTAATTAACTGATGCGACGTTTGTCGCTAGAACGCGAGAACGCGTTCTATCCCGCGCTGTGTACACGATCAGGAATCGGCACGAATTGCCGGTGCGGCAATCTACGCAATTTTTACGCCTATTGCTTTTTAACGCCAATATATCTACCTTTTGGAATCACGCCGAACTCTCCGGCGTTTGTTCGCAACAACGGACATTACGGAAAAAAGATTTTAACGCACATGTGAACGATCTTATAAAAAGATAGTTCTATTGGATCAAGTAATCATATCGCGAGTTGTTCGAAACTTTTAATTTATCTGTAGCTTTTCGAGGTAATACTAAAAAACTATCTTTTTTGCAATGATCATAATCAAATATAATATTAGCAATAAATATTAAACAGAATAGATCTGAGTAAACTTTTATAATCATCATTTTGTCACGACATGATATTGCTCGTAGATCTAATCACACTGCACTCGTACGCATCTCGTCACGCAAAACTAATTAATGGCTCGTTCGTCGTTCTCAAACGTGATTTCGTATTAGTAATGCGTGATCAATGAAATTCTCGTGACATTCAACCGATCTCTGTCTCGATTGATCTACGGCGCGACGACCGCGACGGTCGATGTGCAGTTGCGTCGCGTCGTGGACTCGATCGTCTCGCAACCACCTGGCACCAAAAGACAGATACTGTGGCTAAATGTCAATACAAGGTTTGCTTAATCGAGGGATTGGTTCACACGACTCATCTCGTTCCGTTTCCCCGGCCAACTAACTGGTCTACGAGCAAGCTATTACCGTCACGCGATCCCGGCGGAATCGTTTGACGTCCGGCAGCAGCGGGTGCAAGCCGGTCGAGGTCGTGCGATACTAAAAGAGGGTTTGGCAGCGCAATAGAAAATAAAAACAAAACTAAAAGCAGAAACCGGGAAAAGATTGGTTGCAAATCGCTTCCTCGACTGAAATAAACATATTTGTTGCAATATTTATTGCACGTTCGCGAAATGTAACTTATTATTTCCGTCTTAATAATATTTTATTTATTTTAATTTTTTTTTCTATTATGCTTCTTTTCACTCGTACGCGAGTAGTAAGTTTCAATTGTCAAAATGTATATTACGCGATGCTTCGTATACGGATGTCGGTCGACCGACTTTCTTTCTCTGCAATCTTGAGCATCCTAACGACGACGTCGACGTTGAAACGTCAGCATCCGCGAGAGGAACGGCGAACTCGCGGCCATCGTGTAAAACGTCGGGACGTCATCTATTTTGACGATTACAAGACTCGAGGAGAGTTCCGTCGGTCGCTCGCGCGTGCAATAAGAACGAACGGAACACGATCGGAGAGCCGCCGATCATGGCGATCGCAGGGCGCGAGAGAGTCACCACTCCTTACAGGTGACTCACTCACCACTCACTCACTACTTACCGACACGTTTGCGACGACAGCGTACTTCCTTCGTACGCGCACGAGAAAGAGAGAAGGAAACGATCAACGCGCTTCCCACGTCCCGAAACTCTCTCGAACGCTTTTCAATTCGACCCCGCCCCGGGCAACGTTGTTTCTCATCGGTCGCTGGACCATAAATCGGTCCTACTTCATTCCGTAGATTTGCGCGCGCGCGTCGATCAAAATCTCCGTATCGGTAATTCGCGCGAGAGCTCCGAATAGCCCCGAGATTTCTCTCTCTGTCTCGATTGCGAGCGACACAGCCCTGACCTTCGCACTCTATCATCTCGTTTCACGCCGGCTAAAATCAATCATTATCGCTCTGCGTATAAAGAGAAATTTTGTAAGGAGAAATTTCGTAGGATTACCGTCATTAAATAGCTGTAAACTGTGTCTTAATCTCGAGTGTCGTAACTTGTATAGCCGTGTGTCGCGTTCTTATAGGAGCAACTGGTATACATCTCCATTGGATTCTAATCGCATCTTGCGAAAGTTATTTCCCATTAAAACGCGTAGGTCGATTGTAACAGCCAATTTACTGCTTTTTGAATAAGATGGTTTTTTTTACATTCTCTAATGTAACGAACCGTGTACGATTTGCGTGACAAATCCATTACAATGTATAGTAAGTAATTTTTTGTTACATACGATACAAAAAAAAACAAGACGTAGCAAAAGTAACGTGACGAAATGATAAAATTAATGGCTCCTCCACGTGTAATTTCCGTGTTCCCGATCGCGTCGCTCGTAATTTATTATTTAAGGGGATCGCGCGACGCGAACGGTCAAGGACCTC